GCTCCGAAAATAATAGAGTCCCTCTCGCTGCTCACCCGCTCCAATCAGCATCCTCGTAGTGCGGTCCTGTATCACACAGAATTTATTAGTGAACTGGACAATACAATTCGATTCCTCAATCAATTGCGATACGGAAAGTAAATTGCAATTCAAACTAGGCACATATAAAACACTAGTCAGTTTCAGATGATCGTCCAGTGCAATTGTGCCTGCTTTCTCTGCTATTGTCGTTTTCCCGTCTGGTAGCCCGACAGAGCACGGAATGACATTCTTTATGTCTCTCATAGACTCGAGGCTTCCTGTCATATGATGAGAGGCCCATGTGTCTATTATCCATTCTGTCAATTTTTGCTTACCACTTAGTCATTGACTCCCCTTTTTCTGTGTGTTCAAAAGTTTGAGTAACATGTTCCACTGCTCACTATTCAGTCCATTTAACTCAGTCTTGCTTGCATCAATTGATTCTCCTTGAGACGCATTGCCTTGCGCAGAGGCTTTGGCTGTATGGGCCTTGACTTAGCTGCCACGACCTTTTCCTCCTACTCCTACTCCTTGTTTCTATTCACCCTGTTCTTTTTCTTTGTTTTCAGCCATACCGACTACTATGTTTGAAAACCCACAATAGGTGGCAGAATCGCCACAAATGACAAAGAGCCGATCTCCGCTGCCGCAGAACGTTGACTCGCCGGAGACTTGAGCCCTTGTTAGGACGGTTGTCCGATCAACGGTCTCGGCCAAATGGAACTTCTGCAGAAGGAGAAGAATTTCCTCCTCTATTCTTCTGTACGAATGGCCTCCCGTCTTCTCATCGCCTCTCTTCTTGCCTTTGCATTCTGCTTATTAGCGGAGTCATGAAACCGTTCTCTTCTCTTCTCTTCAACGAACTCTCGAGACAGGACCTGTCAAGACGACCAGAGCCCATCGACGAAATTCAGAACCCTAGATAGACTAGCAGTGCTCCGAAGCTATTACTTCCTTTGCCGTTGTGACTCCTCTATCTCTAAGCTTTCCTTCTTCTTCCGATCTCAAAGATCAAGCGAACAGTCGACGTCTTCCATGACGATCACCGATTTGCTGGAAGTCGAGATCCGGAGCTTCCTCAGCTGTGAATTACTCGACAGAGCCGTTAATTCGAGGTCATAGATGAGGAAATTCGCAATGGTAGCGAACAGGCTTGTCTTTTCAGTTCCCGGTGGGCCGTATTGTAAAACCAGAGCTTACGACTCCAACCAGAGAAGTGTTGCTGCTATTCTCCGAAGGAGACGATGATCACCGAAGTGCCGCTGCTGGTCCGAAAATACAACGTTGGACTGAAAACCACAGCGTAGAACGTTTTCGCCTCTGATCACTGGTTCGAAGTCGCCGCTGATCACTGGTTCGAAGTCGCCGCTGATCACTGGTCCGAAGTGCCGCCGCTGAACGATCGTTGCTGGAGAATTCTGTTGTCGCCTATAGCAATCCTGTTGCTGCCGATAGCAAACCTGTTGCCGCCAATGGCGAACCCATTGCCGCCAAGGTTGTTGCTTCGTCGCCGGCAGAGAAGAAGCAGCCTCAACAGAAAGCGCATCAGGCTTCGTCAAGTTCCCTTCGAAGCCTCTTCCGCCTGCCAAATCTGTGAGAGCAGAGAGAGGCAGGGGAGGAAGAGGCGGCCGTGTGTGGGCTAGGAAGTAGATGAGCAGAGAGAGGTAGTACGGAAACGGCCGTGCCAATGGTTACCACCCGGAACAGGAAGACGTTCACCGCCGCTCTTCTGGGTTGGGTTCGATCACCATGCCATTGGTTACCACCCGGAGGTCGCCGCTGTCACTCGATTTTGGAACCTCTGATCGCAGCCGCCGTCTCAACAAGAAAGATGAGCAAGCGCTGGTTTGATCTGGTTAGATTTTGCCCTAAATTCGATCGCCGGAACAGGGGTGTCGTTTCTTATCTTCTTGCTTCAAACTGACATGGTGTTCGGCGCTTGCAATCAGGAATCTCGAAGAGGTAAAAATGGAGGGTAGGTGGGATGGTTGCCGCCGCCTCTGCTGGATGTCCAAAAATAGAAGGCGATCAACAGTTTCAGCCGAACGGAACTCAGAACGGAACCTCTGTAGAAGAAGAAGAAGACCGAAGAATTCTGCAGAGTTCTTGTCTGATCTGCGAAAAACGAAACTCAGAACGGAACTGCCTCTTCTCTAGGTTCTACTTTCGTATCTTATTCACTAACAATACCCAAATATATACATTCGAGTCTCCTACATATACAAGAATCGGAGACTCATGATTCAATTACAATTACAACAGAGACTTTCAATCCTGATTGTAATCCTAACAGTTTTTTTTCTTTGCCAACAAAAAAAAGAAGAAAAGGGAGTTTGTATTTGATGTGTGTGAACCCACTTCAATTAGAATTTGTGCTACACCATGGAACATCTCTTCCTCTCCTTCAACGGGAACATCATCTTGTAGTAACTCATTCTAATACACATCCTGTATTTGTAACATCGGGATGAAATTGTGCAACACACAAGCAAATAAAATCCTAATTTGCTTGTGAATTGGGTATGGAGGCATCAACTTCAATATCGGGAATCTTGCATTCAAAACATCAAAACAATGCACTATTACATTCCTCAGTGAAGAATGCACATAATTAAAGTACTCATCGGCATTCTTTGGACGACCACCTCTTCCTTGAAAGTCTCTTAAGTGGTACCTCTCTAATTGATATGGAGATAAAAAACTAGGCATATTTGTGTAACCTAAGTCAACAATTAGTATATTCACAATAAAATACTCCGCCCTGCACTTTCTCCACATCAATCAGCATATTCAGCTCTAAACATACCATATACATATTTCCTTTATGTTAATTGGCCCCAAAGAATCAATTTTAAGACTTCTCATCCTATCATGCCCTAGTTTAGAATAAGGTTAAGTCACAAATTAATATGCCAATTCAAGGCCAATCTATAGGGCATAATTAATTACAAGAGATTCCAATTTGCAATCAGAATCTCATAAGTTGTAGAACCTTGACGTAAGTTTGATTTGTCCAACTACAAAACTTGCAACATGCATCACCTAGTCTTGATTAAAACCATGAAAGAAATAGATCAATTTGGCAAAGAGCTGATAAACAATTCATCAAAAGTTGATACATCATGATTTACATGGAGTCAAATTGTTAAACAATTCACACACTCCCGGATAAACATTCTTGACTTTGGATGTAGCCAAAATGCCAAATCGTCTCTTAACATGGGAAAAGAAAGGATAATTTCACATGGTATACTTCATTCTATTGGAGTTCAATACAATGAAGGTTAAGGTTCTATAAGAAAACTAAAGTAAATGTTTCGATACAAGTTAAAGCACCTAATGAGAAATAAATAGCAAGTACAATTCACACACTCCCGAATAAACATTCTTGACTTCCCAACTGAACGATCAATAGGAATTAAACCATACTAAAACAGTATGAATAATGAGAACAAATGGAAGAATCCCATCACTGAAACCCTAAAAAACATATGGTGAAAATAGAATGATCATTCATAGGTAAAATGCAGGAATCACAAAAAAAAACCTAAAAAAATATATTATCAAATGGAATGAATCGCATAACTGAATCGCAATGAAACCCTAACAAGCCAGACGGTGTACTGTGAGCTACACCTCCACCAAGCACGAACCCACAATCGATCACTGCCGTGAGGAAGCCAACCATCAATGGGTGTATTTACTCATGTCCAAATCGGGAAAAAAAAACTATTAGTGAAAGATGGAAAAGAAAGGAAGAAGAAGGAGGTTGCGACGGAGGAAAGAGGAGGTGGCGGAGAAAAGACAATGTAGGGGAGGTTGTTATGGAAGAAGAGATGGTGGAGAATGTTGGTAGAGTGGCCATAGGCCCTCGTTTTGATCCTCAACATGTTGGAACATCCAATGGCCATGTGACAAGCCACATGTTGATGGAAGATGATTATTTTATGGTTATCTCTATGCAACACTTTCACACACAATCATTCACTTGTTTTTCTCAAATTATTATCTATTTATTTATTTTCTATAAAAAATAAATTTATTTGATTGTTCACTTGAAAATGTTTCATGCATAGAGATACCAATATTGTTGGATTATTTGGATCCATATTCCCAGTTCTTATTGGGTCAATGGATATCCATTTGACCCAGTGTAGACTGGATAACCAAGTGGTTATATCCTTGGTCAATATGAGACACTTGTCTCAAATCTGATGGAGCATGGATTCTAATGTTAAGGAACACTTATCTCAATTGATTATACTGCTAACAGTTTGTTCCTAATTTCAAGGAACTTAACGTTAGAGAAGCAACCATATAAGGGATCTCTCCCAAGTGCTTCAAAGTACAATGTGATAGGCTCTTTACTGAGAAAGGAAAATTATCCTCTCAGCCTTAGCTCTAATCAGATTAAGCTATTCTCTCTTACACATTGTTTGAGAGGTTGGTGTCTCGGATCCTATACTGTGAAGCTGCTATTATTCACTTTGCATGCAGGTAAGACAGACAGAGATCTCAGTTGTTCGATTCTACATGCACTTAGATCAACAGAGAAAGAAGAAGAAGAACATGTGCCAACCGAGGTGAGGAAGGAGGAACTCTTGATCCTCTTTCTCGTTTCGGTGAGGGTTGGAGGGGAAAAACATTGAGGGTCTACTGTTCATTTTCGTGGGCGTGTGCATGTTGGCACACGTACGGGGAAACTTCAATTGGAGCTTCCCAAATTTATCCCAAAACAGGTTTCTCAAATCTTTTTGGGATGCTATCTTTTTCTCCCAACTAAACGAAAAAATACAAAAACACGGGCTGTTGGGCTTCAAAATAGCCGACAGCCCATACGAAAAGATGCACCAAGGCCTAAGTTTACCAACAGGGTGAAAAACCAAACCCAATTTTTGGATCATCCAAAATCCTAGGTTTAAGGCTATGTTTGATTTGAAAAAAAGAATTTGCATTGGTTCCCCACAGATCATGCCCCCTTCCCACACCACTCAGTACATCCCAACCATGCATTGGCAACATCTCCCCATGACAAGTTTGGGAGATGTTCTCAATGCACGCTAAGATAGTAAGATGTGTTGTGGGGCGTGCTCCATGGGGAGCCAATCCAAACTCAGAAAGAAAGGTAGGGAAACCTATAGTCCCACCTTTCCCTACCTTTTTCTTTCAAACCAAACAGCAACCACAGCCTATATATTAAAAGGAAAGTCAGTGTGAAAGTTTGAATACAAAGCACATAATAATCCCGATAGGCTACACCCAGGGCCCAGATTCGGTTCTGGTAATTAAGGCTGACTCCACGGCCAGCCATGGCACAATTCCAACACATTGATCTATAGAAACCGATGTTATATAGTTATTGAAACAACAAACAAAACTAAACAAAGTGGAAGGCCAACTTGATGATCAATCATGCATGCGTGAATGTACATGGGGCCCACACGCATGTATATGAAACACTACCATGGTTCTTTAGCCTTTTGATACCACCAGTTGATTGGCTGTAAGCTTTTCCGGTATCAAAGTCGAAAAGGTACTGCCATGAATGAAAGTTATCTGATTTGAACATCAATATTGGAATTCACTACTTGACATTGATTCTGAAATTTTTATCAAATAAATGTAATAAATGAATGTGCTGATTACGTAAATGAAGATATACAACCTTGGCACAACTCTTTGAGGAAGGCCAAAGCAAAGGAAAAGAATAAATTAAAAGTGAATACACAAAATTATTCTTGCTCTATCTCTTTGAGCTTCGATCCATCTTCAGTGTTCAGTGAAGCACCGGAGTCATCAGGTATATCATATTTGGATCTGAAGTTGGTTTCGTTCAGTTTATGGACATTTGTTGTTTGGTCGGGTTGTGGTACATGAAAGTCCGGTAGGTGGTACTGAGCCTCTTAGGGATTGAAGTTGCAGAACGATATCTTCCTTTCTAATTAACCACTCATCTCCATCAAGAGGCCGAGCAGCTGCAAGAGGCAAGAGTAGAACTGAAAACAAGATTAGAGTGATCAAAACCGTCAACAGATTTCTTCTGAACGACCCCATTATTCTGATGAACAAGTAAGCTATTTTTTTTCTCTGTTGCAGGATATGAATGAAGTATGAATGGATTCAATGGTGCTTGGAGTGCAGGTTTACGTGAAAACTGAAAAAGAATGGGATAGATGTTATATGCCTGAATGATGATGAACAACTGAAACCAGAGAATACATATATATAGATTTGTTGTTGGATTAATTTGCCCAGTTAACGCTAGCTGATAAAAAACCTTGAGTCTAGTCTAAATTTTGACTGCTTAAACGATAGAATTTTGAATCCTTCTGAACGCGAAACTCTTGACCACACTATTCGATCAGTATACCACAAAATTTTTGCCCTTTCTTCATGGCTTCTCCTACCCGTTTTAAATTCAAATCGGACTTGTTGGGATTCCCAGATTGATCAAATTAAATGCGGCTCATTGATTTCTTTCATGGGTTAGTAGACCTGGAAAAAGTTGACTCAACTCAAAAAAGCGACCCGACCCGACCCTGTGCAGTGACCCTAACTATAGAAATCGGTTTGACCTGACCTAAAAAACTCGATTTGGATTGGATCGGGTTGGGCCACACTGGGTCACCTATTTTCAAACTGGTGTTAATCCGGATGCCTGAACAGTTCAAACCATTTGAACCGGATGATTAAATCCATTTCCAGCTAAAAATTTTTTATTTGGTAAAAAATAATTGACTTAGGCAATTGAACCATTGACCTAACCCTGGTTCAACCCTAACATGAATATTTAGGGTTAAGGTTGTAGCCTTTACTAATTCAACTCAAAAACTAGCCCGACCTGAAATGACTTGAAAGTTGCCTTAATGACCCAACTCAACCCGACCCGATTGCCAGGTAGTTTATAGCGGATCCATCCCAACCCATTGACCCACTTTATCCTACACGTTCTTGACTTTATGTTGTCAAAACACAAATCTGTTTTCATTACCCCTCAAATTAAAAAGCACAGATTTGTTTTCTGTCTTTCAATACTTTTCAAATATTGCCAGCTCATGTAAGGTTGACTACGCGCTATTTTCATTTTACCCTTTTTCTTGAGCATGACTTAGTCTGGCCTTTTGTTTTTGCCACGTGGACAAAAATATAATATGAGCTTTTCATAACCAAGCCCAAACATGGCTTTGCATTATTTTTCAATTACAATTTGATCAGAACATTGTGTTCTCATTAATTGAACGTAAACCAATAACCCGCTTCAGCCTGTTCAATCAAATTGAATACATTTTACCCTTTTTCTTGAGCATGACTTAGTCTGGCCTTTTGTTTTTGCCACGTGGACAAAAATATAATATGAGCTTTTCATAACCAAGCCCAAACATGGCTTTGCATTATTTTTCAATTACAATTTGATCAGAACATTGTGTTCTCATTAATTGAACGTAAACCAATAACCCGCTTCAGCCTGTTCAATCAAATTGAATCTGCTTTATCAGATTTAGAAAAACAACTTGGAATATCAGATTAACTCATCTGATATTACATATCTCACTCTTAAAATCAACTGAAATTGGATCAAGGTCAGATTTAGAGAGGATAGTCTATAAGAAAGGATTAATTTGTAGGTCGACGTTTAGAGGTGGATGAATCAAAGCTGTCCGACCACAGAGAGGTCGACGTCTTAAGAACCTCCAAGGGATATTTGATGGCTGAAACTATCCGAAGTTCCGAACGCCGGTGACCACTGCAACATTGTTGAAGCTCTTCGCCTTGCAATGACCATCCCACCACTGCAACTCCTCTCCCTCCCTCTCTCTCTCTCTCTCTTTCCATTGAGCGATTTGCCGCTGCTCTGAGACTCTTGACCCGGCCAAAGCACGCAGAAAACAAATCAGATCCAAGTGCGGCCAAAATACGCAGGGAAAAAAGGATTCGCCTCTGTGCCCCGCTTCTCTCTTACCTCTCTCTCTCTCTCTCACATATCCCGTCCTTTGCACTTTTGCATCATAGCCACTGCCGCTGCAAGTCTCTCTCTCTCATATCCTGTCCCCGCCGCTACAAGTCTCTAGATCTCTCTCTCTCTCTTTCGGTTTGCCACTACAACTTGGCCATCAAGTGTACCTCCATTGATCGAAACTCCATTAACGCCTTCAAAGGAAAGCCAGGAGTCAAAACTACCAAGAACGTGAACACAACACGGTTGAGTTAAGTAACTTCCCAGTGGCACATATACTGTTGCCAGAGAAGATGAGCCACAAGCTCCTGTCCATGCGTCCAAGAAGGCATGCGTCCAAAATCGTCAAGACGTCAACATTGTAGTTTGCAGCCACGTTGTTGGGGACAAGAAGATTAACTAAAGTGAGAAAAGAAAAGCGATGAACTTCAACATTTTGATCGAGAGAGAGAGAGGAGATTACGGTGAGGTGGTGCTCTATATTCGTATTATCACGCAGACGGTGGTGCTCGATTGGACCTGCTCCTGAAGAAGGAAAATGTGTCGTCAACACGTTGGTCGATATAAAGGTTTCGGAATTGCCTGCGAAACCCGAACTGAAGACTCCTCCTATCGTCGCTAGATCTACAGAGTTTTGGAATCGCCCGCAAAAACCAGACCAAAGACGGTCGTGTTGCAATGGTCTTGTTGTAGGGTTCATCTTTGAGCTCTGTATTTTCTAAGCTGTAGGGGTCTGAACACCATTGCCAAACGGGAGGAGTTCCCAATTTGATTTAAGGGGCAAAATGGACATTTTAGCCCTTCCGTCAATGTTTTTAAGGACAATGATAATTTTCAGAAATAGGAATAGCCTTACACAATTTTCAATCAGTAAGGTTATATTTAGTCAATTAGTTAAAACTATAAGAGTAGTTTAAGAAATTTACCTTAATTAAATTCATGTTTGTTTTCTAATACTAGAAAACTGTAAGAGTAGTTTAAGAAGTAATACTCTCTTCAAATTTCAGTAAATTACTTACCCATGCAGTAAAAAAATCACTAATACATGATAGAATAATATTGTCCCTTCAATAATGTCACTTTTTTGGATAAATGGATCATTATACATCTTTTACTTAAACAAATGAATACTAGTAAGTGCTCTTATCTAGATAATTATTTCTCAGGAAACACTTGCTCAAATAAGTGCACTTTCCCAAGGAAGCCATTTATGGAGACGCAAATGAGGCCTAAGTGCACAGGTTCCATTTGTCTATCTTCTTTTTTATACATTCAAATTTTTCCTTTTTCTCTCCCTTTCCCTTTACCAATAAATTTTGAAATTTTCTTGGATATCATTACCGATGATTTAAATATTGTTAGGTACATTTGATAAGGTGTATCATATCGGTATTGGCCTATGGTAGTACGGGATACGCTACGAATAGAAGTGTATCCCATGAGTTGTACGCTATAGCAGCGATATTTAAATCACTAAGCCAATCTCCTAAGCCTTAAATGTGATTCTAAACCACTAAGCCACATTTATTCTTGTCATAATAAATGAAACAAAATACATTTTATTAACTTTGTCTCCACATGTAATTTAAACAAAAAAATGCATGTTTATATTCAACAACTCTAATTAAAATACTATTAGAATAAATAATCTATCAAACCCATGTTTATATAAAAAGATGACTTTTAATATCAAGAAATATATATATATAATAGAATAATTATTTAAATACTTAAAATTTATAAATTTGCACATGATATGCATCTTAAAATTTTTAAATATTTTTATAAATTATTAATTAGTATTTTAATTTACATTAAAAATTAATAACAACATATTTATTATTTACAAAAAATAAAAATATTGTTTACAAAATATTCAATAATATAACATTAAACTGAATATATCAAATCCATTAATTTAAATTTATTTCAAAAAATGACTGTTTTAATTCAGAACATTTATATAAATAAAAACATTAATAACGGAGCAATGATTTTAATAATTTAAAATTATGAATTTGTATATGATATGTATATTATAAATTTTAACAAATTTGATATACTTCAAGTTAAGATTATATTTTCATAAATTATTAATTAATATTTTAATTTGCATTTAAGAATTTAATAATTAGTTGATTTTTGTTAATGTTAAAAATTTAAAATAGTAAAATAAAAATAATTGATATAATATTTAAAATATAAATATAATAAGTGCATATGTTTAGTGTCTTGGACTCTTGATTGATGCATTATAAATAAAATTATATGATATCTATAAATCCTGGTATATTAATTATAATATATATTTTTTCATACATACCATTAAAATATACATTTCCTATGTATTTATAAACTATTTGTGATTATTTTGATCTTAAATTTAATGTTATTAATGTATTTATGGAATTTATATGTATTTTCCTAGCGTCTCTATACATTTTTCATATTTTTGTCTGTATCCATGTATTTCCAAAGTCATTTCCTATTCATATATATATCCAAGTTATCGGGTTACTGATGCTTTAATCCTTTGATTGTTAAAAGTCTAAGCATTACGGATCAGTTTGTTTTTGGTGGAAATTTAATTTGCATTGGTCAAATGCACAGAACCACTCTCGAACTAAGGTGGAACTGCCCATATAACACGAACTAACGTGGCCAACTATGACTTTTAACATCCTTTTTTCTAGCAAGTGGACCTGCCCATGTAACAGAACTAACATGTGGGTTGAATTTTTATTTGAATAAACCACCTGCAAGTGGTTTTTTAATAACTACTCTCACTGTTTTGAGAAGTGGGTGTTTTTTCTCGAAAAAATGATGCCACTTGTTTGATAGAGAAGGTCTTTAGTTGAAGTTGGTAGACACATATCCGAAAAAAAAGAATGCTTCTATTTGAGAGTAGAAATAACCACCCTATATCTATTCATAACAGAAAACTTAAAGTGTTGTTTCTCTGCAACTCTTCCATCACCTCAATTCTTTCTATTCAATTTGTTTCAGTGGTTCTTCATTGTTTCCTACCTGGCTTCCATGGTATCTACAGAGGAAACTCAGATGCACTCGTATTTTTGATCCTTTGTGTAGCACAAGGGATTCTATTATGGTAATTCGTAATCTACACTATTTCTATTCTTAGAAGTATATGTTTTTCTTTTCTTCTTGCATTTTTTTGGTTGATCTAGCTATGGTTTTATTTGAAATTTTGATCCTATTTTCAATCTAATGGATATAGATTGGCTTTTAGATATTAAAATCTACAAGGGAACAATGAAACTAAAATTCAAATATGAAATGGTGTTTTCCACAAAACCTTCCTATGATCCCTTAAGTGTAGAACTAATTACATGTAGACTATATAGTCTTCTTATTTCCTATTCTTATTCTTCTTATTCTTTTGGATATTCATTTATTCTTTAATTGGTAATGCAACCCTAATAGAATTGATTTTTGTTGATTCCATGGGTTGACTTTAACCCATCCACCACCCAAAAGGAAAAATGAAAAGGTCTGAATCTAGAAACTAGAATAGAGAAAGCCTATAGATCCATGCAGTTCTATATGCATGCCTACACCTCTCCCTTTACTTGTAGACTATTCAGTTTTGAATCCATTAGACCTTCATAAAAATCTATTAAGCATGTATTTCTCACAGGTCCTTCTGTTAGACAAGAAAAAACTTGCCCAAGTAGTCTATATATGCTTATTGCTCATCCTGTTCACATGGGTCCAAATAATGCCCTAATAGCATACCTCTTGTAAATACTAACTTAACCTTTTCCATTTTGGTGATAATTAATTTGATGTGATGCAAACATAGATGATCAATTGATCCATTGGGACAAACCTAATTTAATATTGACCCTCTTAGTTCCCACTACTAGCTGCACCTTGGCAAAACAACCTCCCTAACATACTGGTAAAATCTGTCTCCTACCAAATCCAATATCACTAGGAGGTCTATCTATATACATTGATCATGTTTCTTCCAGATTTCCATGTATCCATTTTAGATGAAATTCAAGATTTTAGCACAAGTGCTTTAAGAACTAGAGCTGGACACCATATCAGCCAGAAACAAGGATGCTTCAATTTTTGAAAGAGGATCTGAGGTTTTCTAGGTTCAGTAGACAATGTTTTGGTAAATATTTCATCTTATGCGATATAACTGAATTAGAGGTGAAGTTTGTTCAGAATTTTATTGGAAATGTTCATTTTCTATATACTTTTTAAATTAGAAATAAGAAAGAGAAGATATATAAACAAAGGCTAAAAACAATGATATTCTAAGAGCCAAAGAACTGAAGAAGAATTCATAAAATGAACAATTAGTCTGGAAACAAAGATCATTTAACACATTTTATTATGGAAGCCCAGTTCAGAGTTAAGCCATTAATAATAGAACTAGCAAACACAAGCTTTCACAAAATGTTCACAATAAAGTAAGTCTCTTTGTAAATTGGGTTTTGAGAATATTGTTGTAGATGGTGATTCCTGGATTGTGATAAAATAAATGAGAAAGGGAAGAGTTAGTTTTCTTAGCTTTTGAGTCTAGAAACCTAGAGGTTATCCCAATATTTAGGAATCATTTTTTATGCTTTTGTCTAAGTGGGGGTACAAGTTGGTTAATTTTATAGGGAAAAAGGCCCTATAAATGAAATGTAGGAATCATGTTTGGTATTCTTGTTTTATTTCAACCCTTTTCTAGGTATATATCAATTACTTAAACTATTGATCGTAATTAGAACTTTAGGAGGACTCATATCATGTAGTTTCTTATTTGTTTCACCCATCCTATGACCATCTTTGATGGGAAAAATGTCATTACTCAATTGCAACGGGCTAGGCCTTGGGCCAAAGCCTATTCAAAATTCAAGGAGTGCCAAGCCCATGTTTAATTTGCAGGAAAATATAAACTCTCTTAATTTTATATTTTTAGTCATGTATCTCTTGGTTCAAATTCAGACAAGAATGTTAGACTTTCCAATAATTTTAGAATTTAAGGAAAATGAAGAAATGCTTCTTCTATGACTCAAATTAACTTGAACCCATATATATTACCATCATGAAACTAGAAAACTGATAGAGCACCAATTCTTCTAGTTTTTTTGAGTTTGTTGGAGGAACCATTGCAAGATGTGCAGAGAACCATTAGATACATCAAAGTGATAATATGAGATCTTAAGGGAGTACTATAATCTAAAGGCAAGATTATAGGAAGATTTGTGTTGTAAAAGAGTATTTTCAAGTTTACTATAAAAAATAAAGACTATTTTCATGTTATCACTTGTTAAAAGTCCCTCATACATTTCTTTAGATAAATTAAAAAGCACTTGCTTTTAATTTTATGCACAACTAAATTATTTAGATTTGTTGGATCACAAGTATGAATATGACGGAACTCAAGATTTATTTTTTAAAATTTGAAATTCTCTTGTGCCCTTTGTTAGAAAACAAAAAAAAATTATAATTATTCTAGAAATAGTGGAATTAATAGCTAAACCTTAAATAATTCCGTATATGTTTAGATAATATGGTAATAGTCTCTTCTTTAATAACTAAAGAATGACCCTGTACTAAGTATGGAGAAACTACAACATCATTTAGTTTGAAATTTACTATTTAACTATAAAAAAAAAATTAGAAAAATTAATATGGGTCTTACATCTTTGTAATTCACAATGTATTATGACTTATTTTGTTTGAAAATCAATACTAATTTATGTTGTTTTTAATGTGATTTAAAAGAGATTAAATGAAGTCTTATTTATAAATTGGTATTTACTATTTATTTGATAAATTTATTGAGTTTTTTTTATAAATAACCACATTTGTATCACTTCAAAGTGGATTTAATGTGTTTGAATAAACCTCTTCTAAGGAAGTTATTCTATTTGAAAGTGGAATTAATCACTTTTAGATTCTCTTTTCTAAAACATTGGAGTACCACGTGTCTGAATGGAGGGATTGTTGCCTGACCACATTCCTTTTGCTCAAAATGGTAGCTTTCATTGCTTTTAATCAGCCATTTATTTTCCACATTCTTTTATACAGGAGACTTGCCCTCAAGTAAAGAACATACTACTTCTGGATTCTGAAGGGAAGCGTGTAGCTGTCAAGTACTACTCAAATGACTGGTTAACAAATAGTGCAAAGTTGGCTTTTGAGAAATCTGTCTTTACTAAAATTCAAAAGACAAATGCCCGAACTGAAGGTGACAAATGCAAAATTCCCTATCACTTATATATCTTCTCCATATACTGTACTGTTTAACCTTCTTAGAGGAACTTATGTTGCCTCTCCTTTATCATTTTATTGTTGTCATTCACAAGTTAAATGAGCCATTGACATTTCCAATATATCTGACTTTTTCAACAGCAATTATATCAACAAACTAAGACAAGTTATTTCTTTTTCCATTTGTATAATGGGAAAAGGGATACTAAGAAATTTCAAAAGGCTATGGGAAAAACACATGCTCCTTGCTTCTGTTCTCATAGTTATGAACACATGAACATGTACAAAAATAATTTGTGTATGCTGAAATTGATTTTCAAAAATGACCTTTTCTATGGTTTACATTGACTTTTCTTCTATTAATTAGCTAGGTTGAAGATGGTCTATAACAAATTATTCATCCCACCCCAGGATGGAAAAGTCTCATGTTTTCATATATTTTGTTGATAAAATATATTTTCATACTAACTTTCAAGCATGGAACTATTGACCACATTTTCATCGGTGAAAATGTTCCCTAGGTGTAGAAATAGAATAGTTTCAGTTGGCTTGTGGGGAACAAAATATATTCTATTCATAGTTCAAATTTCTTATGTCTGACTACTTATTACATATGCTTCTATTTCACCAATACAGCGGAGATTGCGATGATTGATAGCTACATTCTTATCTACAAGTCAATTCAAGACCTATACTTTTTTGTCACTGGAGGTGACGATGAGAGCGAGATCATCCTAGCAACAGTTCTTGAAGGATTTATTGAAGCAGTTACACTTCTCCTCAGGTCCTAGTTGTCATAGTTGTGCCCTTCTCCCTCATTTTCTTTGCACATGGATTTTTACTTTTACTATATACAGTCTTTTAGTTTGTGTACTAATTTGGTTTCTTAATGTGTATCTTCATCATCCAACAGGGAAAATGTCAGTAAGAGGACTACACTTGAAAACTTGGATCTCATCTTCTGTTGTCTTGATGAGATGGTTGATGGAGGGTATGGATTATGTGATTCTCATGTAATTAGTGTTTAGTTATTTTGTTGTTTTTTTTCTTATTTATTGGATAAAAGTGATACATGTTTTCTCTCACAGTAAATAATGCACTAAGGCCCTATTCGCTTTTCGGTAAGTTACTTACCCGGGTAAATGCAGTTTTTTGGGTAAGTTTTTCTGGGAAACACTTACTCGGGTAAGTGCATTTACCCATGTTCTTTTATTTCTCATGTAAATAAGGAAACGATCATTTTAGTCATAAAAATCACTATTAAAAAGGGCATTTTTGTCCCATTCAAGTGTTGGCAACTTTCCCCCTAGGTGGGAAAGTTATTTATCCACCTAGGAAATGGATATCACTTACCCGGTTATTTACCCACCTAAGTGATACCTAGGAAAATAAACTTTCCCTGGTCCCACATAAATCTGAAAAAAGAACATGGGATTCTTGATCAATGGAAACCAAAATTCCATTGACCAACTTTCCCCCCTCTCAAAATCTGAAAAAAGAACACCGCCTAAAAAAGTAGGCAAATGCACCAAAATAAGTACTTGGTGCTATCCCCTCAAGAGGTGGTTACTTGAGAGACTAAGGAGAATCGTAAATTTTGTTAATTGTGGCTTCATTCCCTGTTGATAAAACATATGGAAAGAAAGCTCTCAAAAACTCTCTAAACTTGAAGGATCAAGGAAAGCTGCTTCTAGGATTTAAAGACCAATATCTTCACAATGCTCAGAAAATGGTCCTCATTTGGACTTCTAAAGGGCCTAAAATCAAAGCCATAAGTCCTTCATGAAAAGATTTTGACCCTTATCCATCAAATGATACTCCTTTTTCTTTCCTACTCCTATTTTACAGGAAATTTGTTTTCAATCTCATTGTCTTTCCTCCACTGAATTTAGAATAGAGAACCATGAAAAAAAAACATCCATTAAAATGTATGAGATAAATTATACAAAAAAATCAAGATTCTTGCTTTCAATTACTAGTGTTTCTTCATCAATATCAGATATTCTAGGCTGAAAATTTCATCTCAAAATATTCAACCATCAAGTTCAAGTGTCAATAGAATAATATCCGGGACATAGTGAGCAACCAAATAAGTTTAGAGAAAGCTTCACCATTTTGCACCCTCTAATACTTGCTAAATATGATAGATTATTTATTTGTTTGTTTGTTTATTTGTAAAGAGGAGAAAATTACGAATAGAGAAACCCCAAAGGTCTTCTAATCCAACCCTCTCCATATCTAAAGTAGGTAGGGACAAATCTACGGAATGGCTCAAACCAACTTAATAGTACATATAGTTCAATTACAACTCGAGTGTTCCTTTTACTCTGGTAGTAGGGGTAATCATGGGTTGAACTTGCATTAGAACCAATGATAAGTGTTATGATCCAGGCTCGAGCTAAGCTTTGCACCTGTAACTTTAAATAATAAAAATTTTATTTATTTATAATATTTTATATTATATGGTGTAATATATCTATGTACTATTAAAAGTATGAATGAGAATTTGGAACTTTTGTTTGACTAATGTACCCCTATTTTTGAATTTGATCACTCTCTAATTTTAAAGGCAAAAAATGTAATTTGAACTACTATTATTCACCCCCATTCAATTCCCCTTTCATTAATTAGGTATTAATTCTTATTATCTTCCATTGAATCTTATTCTTGAGTAAAATATCCCTATTTTCAAATTTAGTCCTGCTCTAATTTTGAGGGCAGAAAATGTAAGTTCAACTACTATTTTTCACCTTATTCAATTCTCACTCATTAAGTCTCATATTCAAGGTATTAACTCTCATTCTCTCTCATTGAATCCTATATTTAAGCTATTTTTCTCGCCAATATTATGTTTTATCAATTTGATCTTTATAGAAAGCATTTGGGTACATAAACTTTCTCGCCAAAAAAGAATACATAAACTTTGTAGAAAGCATTTGGGTACATCTCTAACATTTTATACTAATCATATAGGTGTGATAAAGAATAATTGCTTTTATTGATGATGAAAATAAATTACAAAATTTAAAACTGATCCAAAAAAATAGAATTGTTTTCCTTTTTTATGGCAAACAATAGTTCAACCTTTTCAGTCAAATGTGTTGATCCTTGATGTCATAATTAAATAAAAAACTTTCAAAAATATAAACACATAAAAAATTATAAAAAGTATACAAATTTTATAGAAAACACTTAGACACATATCTAATATCATATATTCATCATATTAAACCAAAATAAGTGTGATAAATAAAAATTGTTTTATATATAGAAATATAAAAAATGTAAAAAATTAAAAAATAATATTACTATCATCACCATCTAAAGCTGCAATGTGTATAGCATGTACACATTTGTTGGTATTGAAAATGTTATGTGGACTTGGGCTAGGCCAGGTTTGGCTTGGCTTTGGGCCGATGGCATTAAAAAATATGGGCTTCAACATATATAGGGATGTCAATGGGTTGGTTCTATCCGATTAACTGAGCCAATTATGTCAATTTTGGTTGTTGGATCTTGTTTCAATTAACAATTAGGTCAATTTTGGTTATGTCTGATTACCTGAGCCAATTATGGCATTAAAAAATAAGGGTTTCCAAGTTTTAATATAAATTTTATTATATTTTATGTTTGAAATGATAAAATTGATAAATAATATATAAGATAACATTAGTTAAAAATGCTCAATTTAAAAATATATAAATAATATAGTATTTCATTATCATTTTTATTAATTTTATATTATCAAAATTTAAATTTTAAGTTATTATTAAATAAATAAATATAGTTGTCAGTATAATCGAGTATATTGGGTCAAACCCGATTATCCAAATTATTAACCTAGGTGGTTTTGGGTCCATCATTATGTCCCAATTAATAATCAATTCTAGACTAGGATCACCCTATCCCATCCCATTGACAACCCCAATTCAACACATGGTTATCTATCATTGCCTAATTACTAAAATGAAGGCCTTGCCTTCATCTATATTAGTGTAACAGAATATGCTATGCGCATGTGCAAGTAAATATTATATGGTATTTTGATTGAATTTTTATAACTTGCATGCAACCCAAGGCAAGTATCGACTTTATATAGTATAGATAAGGATAGACAATCCTATTTATCTATCTATCTATCTATCTATCTATCTATTTATCTATCTATCTATATATATATATATATATATATATATATCATAAGTATATTATTATTATTATTATTATTAGGAAAATCCCTTAAACCTCACCTAACTTTCGGGGATAAAGGGACTTACAAACCCCTTCCATTACTTTTAAGTGGACAAAGACATTAAATGTCTATTATGTCCATACTAAGGCTGCATTTGGCATTCCTTATTTTAAGGACTTATCTCATTTTTGCAATTAAAAATTCAGTGTTCATAAGGGCATTTTAACAGCAAAAGGGAGACAAGTCCTTAAAATAAGGAATGCCAAATGCAGCCCAATTCCTCCTATCAAGTTTGTAGATTTTTCCTATTCCAACTTTATCATTAAACTATTAATATGAGTAAATATGTTTTAGTATTTCAATTTTTGATGCCATAAACTACCTCATTTTTTATTAAAGAGAGCTTTAAGGTTTTTTTTTTGTTAAAGATTTAAGGGAATTTGCATTTGTTGATTTTACGTATGGGCAAGATTGCCTTATAATATATTTAAATCCGTGACATCAGCAGATGCTATTAGATTTACAAGGATAAAGTAACGGAAGGAGTGCATAAGTGGTTTATCCCCAAAGGTCAGGGGAGTTTTAAGGGCAGGTCAAAGTTGAGAGGAAGTTTAAGAACTTTTCTAAAAAGAACAGGGGAGGTTTAAGGAATTTACCCTATTATATTATACGAATTGGGTTGGGCATGAAGTATTGGGCCCAGGCTTGGCCCCCTATACTTTTTGGGCCTGATGCAGGCTGGGTTTTTGGGCTGGGCTAAGAATGATCACCCCTATATTGTAGTTTCCACTTACTCCTTTCCTAGAAAAAGGGGAGTGCTTGTGGCAAGCTATATTACCACAAGCACTCCCCTTTTGCCACATAAAGAAACTGTCATGGCAGAGGAAAACTTGAGTTGTAATTGAACTGTATATAGGGATATAAAGGCAATGTCAAATTGGTCTATTGAGCTCCTCAATGGCAATGGTTAGAGTTAATTTTTATATACACCAAGTTGACACATGAAAATTCTAACAGGAGAGCCACTAACCAGAATTTCATCATTTTCAATGTTCATTACAAAAACCAAGAATGTCAACCCTTACTCTAGCAAGGCTCAAGGAAAAACACTCTAGGCTCAACCTTAGGCTCATGCCTGAAAGAATAATGCACATGTTTGAGGTGCTTTATGTCAAATTCATGTCTCTCATGCACTAATTGAAGTGAAATAAATTCTCATCACAAGAACAAATCAAAGACTAATCCTAAGATTTCGGGTATATGCCTTTAATTTATATAAGTATGTAGGGTTTTCAACTCCTATTTGAGGCTTTTGATGAGCTTTGCTAGTCCTTGTTTATATGATGAACAATCTTCTTATATATATATATATATAAATAGTTCCACCACTTAGCACTCATTTTGTTCATATTAACACTGAGTACTCATGACTCATGTATGAGGCTTAAGCCTCACCCATTGATGTTTATGCCTTACAGGCATTAGAAGAACCCATGTCTCATCATGCCTCTGTGTTTTAGAACATTATTGATCTGGTAAATATGTTCTACAACTGCAACCAGAACTTGCTTATTAATGGTCAGGAGTCCATGATTTTGGGATTCTGAATCTTTCATGTAATTTCTTTGAAGTGATGACTGTGTTTTTGCAGTATCATTCTTGAAACTGAAGGAAGTATCATTGCAAGCAAAGTTTCATCCAATGGTCTGGAATCTGCAACAACATTCTCCGAACAGGTAACTCTCTTTTCTAACCCAATAAATAAATGAGTGAATAACCATAATAGAGTAGAAGATAGATGGAAAGTTCTCCCACTCTTTGTGATTCTAACAGAAGCCCAACATTCTGTTTTTTTCTTGCAGACTTTAAGTCAAGCACTAGCTACTGCACGGGAACATTTAACAAGATCTATTCTTGGATAATGTCTGCCTCGTTGAGGGGGGAAATTTAAAAAAAAAAAAAAACGAGTCTTCATTACTTATCTTTTTTTCTTGGATGTTTATTAAAACTTCAATTTCTTTTTCTTTTTGGCAAAAAATCAGCCGATTAATTTTGAGTTTACGTCTCCAAGAGCCTTTGTTATGATGATCCTTCTATCTATTATTTTCCCTTTAATTGGGTAAGCTGAATACTATTGTCCAAGTCGACAGGTCGATGGTTCAACCATCCGGATCAGCAGGTTATTGACCAAATCAATGGTTTTAGGGTAAAATGGTACTGATTGCCTGACTGATTCCCAGATCAATCGATCTGATTTTCAAAACCATGACTAGGTGTATAGTTGCATCTGTCCCTCCTGCGACTCCACATTGACAGAAACCTCGTACACTAGGATGCCCTATTAGACCCAACAAAGCCATCATCTCAAGTTGTCAATCCAGGGTATATGACTGCTACTCCTACAGAGAGAGGGGCTCTGCCTGGTTTCTTAAGCAGCTAAACCAAAGACGAAGAATTAAATCATATAATAAGGCCTGTTTGACATAATAACAGTATTAGCCTTTAACTACCAAAATGGGCAAAGTTTAATATTCCTATGTGATATACAAAGAATATGTTTACAGTAAGGAATGCTAAGTATTTGGGTTCTTCATATACTTCAAGCTCCATGGGTATAGCTCATTGAATTTTACATGTACTCTGTTCCGTCCCGACCCTATAATCCCCTTGTAATGTCTAATCTGTAATAAAAAAGACTCAAAAAAAGAACAATGTGTATCTATTGCGGAGCCCAATTTATGAAAACAAAAGCTGATGATGTGTGCTTAAGATCTTAGGTTATGTTTGGGAGTGAGTTAAAAATAAGCAATTATCAAACAAGTATTTATTTTGGGCCAGGACCACAGAAATAAGAACTTATTTGCATTTGAGGAACAAGCACTCCCCAATAAGTCTTTATTCCTAAGAATAAACACTTATAAAAGAAGCAGAATAAGCACTTATTCAAGAGACCCAAATTTTGGGCTTATTTTTAAGTGTTTATTTCCTTGATTTCTAGCCTGTCTTGGCCCGCCAGATCATTCTAAAAATACCTAAGTACCCCTATTTGAAATAAGTGTACTTTCACCAAACGTTCATGAACACTTATTTTTCAAATAAAAACTTCCAAACTCTGCCTTTGTATGCCATTGCCTTCAAAAACAAATTTGACCGATCTCAGTGCTTGAAATTGCACTTCATTTACAAAAATAAGACTGATATGACCTGGGGCCTATTTATTTGTACTAAAGTCTAATATTTGAAATATAATAATTACTTTAAGAGGTGTACTAAAGTCTTAAAGTTGGTGAACTTTTTTTAGGCTGCATTTGGCTTTTATAGGGCATTTTAACAGTAAAAAGGAAATAAGTCCTTAAAATAAGGAATGTCAAATGCAGTATTAGTAAGCTATTTAAAAGCAGGCTTGATTGTTGAGTTTTAAAAAATAACAGTTGACCATTTTAACCCTAGGGAGGAGGATGTTTGTTTAACTATTTAATAACCTAATTAAAAATTAATTAAATAATTACAAAATGATTGAAAGTTGGTAAAGTGATTAAAATTTATAAATAACTAAAAAGAATAAAATTTTAATATATAATAAAAATATTACAATAATTAAATAATAAAATAATTAGTAGTATAACTAATACAATTAATTAATTATAATTAATAATTAGTTACATTAATTATTTAAGGATGAATAATTAAAATAATTATTTAATATTATAAAATTATTGATAACTAGCGGAAATGCTTGTGCTAAGCACAGGGCAAAGATGAGCAAGAGAATAAGATAAAAACAAAAAATTTAAGTTAATTATACATGCATTATTATAATATTTTGTATTTATATACATTTTCATGTATAAATTTAAAAACATTTTTTTTTATTTTTATTTATTTTAATGACCACAAAACAAGGTCGATTTAAAATTGAGTCCAATCTAGCTAGAAATCTGAAAGATTGATTTTGGATCGAAGTCGAATACAATTGGATTCGAAACCAAAACTGAAACATCAGACTTCAAGAAATATTGAACTATGATCATATTTGAAGAATCCAATATGAAATATTCATCTAGAATTAGAGTTGGATGCAATTGAATCCAAACCCAACCCAAAATATCAAATGGATCATATTCAGAAAAGAATTTAACTTAGAGAGAGAGAGGTTTTCAAATTATCTTGGACAGCCATACCATTTGTCTTGCAAAACTGATCATTCCATTTCACCCCAATTGTTATTTTCCCAAAAAAAATGTTGAATTGGTGGATGACTTGTACAATATAGTCAAACTATTGACACATTTGACTCATAGAATGATGGTTTTCCAAAAAAAATCATAGAATTGGTCATCAACTCACTGAATCAGGTGATTGAACTATTGACTCATTTAACCTTGACAATATATTTCAATCCAAATTTTTATTATAATTATTATATTATTTTATTTTTTAAAATATCGTGGGTTGATTTGAGGTTTTCAAGTGTCAATGACCTAGACAGTTGAATCATTCAGCCCGAAAACCGGTTAGGGTACCAATTTCATTTCATCCCTAAACTACTATTTTCCCCAAAACTATTGAATTGGTCAATGACCTGCTAACCCTAGCAGTCGAACTATTAACTCGCTTGACTCATACAACAATGGTTGCCCAAAACCATTAAATTGGTCAACAACCTATTGACCTAGGTAATCAAACTGTTGACCCATTCAACCCAAACAACTTTCGAGCCAAATTTTTTGTAATTATTTTTATTTTTTAATTTTTTAAATATCATGGATTTATTTGTTTAAACCAAATGATTGAACTATTAACATGAAAACCAATGGCCAAAGCAATTTCTTTTCAGAGAACTATTTAACTTAGAGAGAGAGATTTGAGGTTTTCAAATCGTCGTTAACCTGGATAGTCAGACCATTCAGTTTAGAAACTGCTTAGGGTATCAGTTTCATTTCACCCTTGAAGTGTTATTTTCCCAAAAACTGTTGATTTGGTCAATAACTTGTTGACCCAAGCGGCTGAACTATTGACCCGTTTGACTCATACAATGTTGGTTTCCCAAAAAAACTGTTCAATTGGTCATCTACCTACTCATCTAGATGATCAAAATATTGACTCGTTCAACCTAGACAACAACTTTCAAGCCAAGTTTACGATATAGTTATTTTTATTTTTAATTTTTTTAAAATATCATGGGTTGATTGGTTCGTATTAGATGGTCAAACCACTCAACCCAAAAATTTGGACAGGTTGTCTCAAAGAAAAGTTTAACCTAACTTAGAGAGAGAGAGAGAGAGAGAGAGATTTAAGGTTTTCATCCATTGTTGACCTTGGATAGCCAAACTGTTCGACTTAGAAACTGGTTCCATTTCACCCCTAAATTGCTATTTACCTAAAATCTTTTGAGTTGGTCAATGACCTACGAACTCTAGCAATCAAACTGTTAACTCGCTTGACTCATACATTGATGGTTTCCCAAAAACCATTGAATTAGTCATCAACTCGCTAATTTGGGTGATCAAATTGTTAACCTGTTCAACCCAAAGAACAAATTTCATGCCATTTTTTATTGTAATTATTTTTATTTTTTTATTATTTTATTTTTTAAATGCTATGGATTGATTTGTTTGGACCAGATGATCGAATTGTTGACACAAAAACTAGTGGCCAAAGTGGTTCCATTTCAAAGAAGAATTTTACTTAGAGAGAGAGAGATTCAAGGTTTTCAAACCATCGTAAGAATTTAACTTAACTTAGAAAAACATAGATTCAAGGGTTTTCAAACCGTCATTAACCTAGATAATCAGATTGTTTGGCCTAGAAACTGGTCAGGGTACTAGTTCCATTTCACCCCTAAATTGTTATTTTCCACAAAAAATTGCTGAATTGGTCAATGACCTCTTAACCCAAGTGGTGACCTGCTTGACTCATGCAATGGTGGTTTCCCAACAACCATTGAATTGGTCATCAACCCGTTGATTTGAGTGATTGAATTGCTGACCCGTTCAACCTAAACAACAATTTTTTATTGTAATTATTTTTGCTATTTTTAATTTTTTGAAATATCATGCGTTAATTTATTTGGACTCGATGATTAAACTGTTGACCCAAAAATCAATGGCCAAAGCAATTATGGTTCTAGGTTGATATTATTAGGAGAGAGACTATGGAGGCATTTGATGGGATGAGAGTAGGGGTGTTCATTATATGGTTCAAACTACAAACTGAACCAAACCAAACCGAATTTGTGGTTTGGTTCGGTTTGAAAATTTTCTAAATTGCAGTTAACAGTTTTGGTTTGGTATATTGAATTTTATAAACCAAACCAAATCGTAAACTGTATACTAAAATTATATATAATATGAATATATGATATATAAATATTATATATAATATATCTAAATGGAATTCATAAAATTATAAATATATAATGAACTCTTTTTTATAATAAAATAATAAATAAATGTTTTAACTTTTAATTTTTAGGGGAGCTATTTGGGCTTTCTAATTGGGTTAAGCCCAAAAGAATCATTGAATGGTCCAAAGTCCCAAACCATATTAGAATAACCACACCAAACCGTAATAAAACAATTTGGTTTGGTTTGATTTCCATACCAAAACAGTTTGGTTCAATTTAGAAATTTCTCAAACCGTAATTTACTGGTTTGGTCTGAGATCTTCTCAAAACTACACCAAACTAGACCATGAACACCCCTAGATGAGAGAGAGGAGGGAGGGAGGGAGATTAATGAGAGAAAGAGAGTAGAAATAGGGGAGAGAGATTTGACATGATGAGAATTATGAGAATTGAGAGAGGGGGAGGAGAGAATGAATTGAGAGAGAGAGAGAGAGATTTGATAGGATGAAAAAGATGTGAAATGCCATCAATAATTGTCTTATACTGTGGTATGATCATAAATAATAATGGCCTGAG